TTCATGGTTGACTTGATACACAAACTCATTAAAAGCATAATATTAAATATCAATATCAATTATTAAAAAAAACTTGAGTCTCATTTTTCATAGAATTTGTTTAATCAATAAACATGTCTTACTAATTATTCACAAATGCCAATTGCAATTATATACATGACATTTACGATTATTTGGAGAAAGATAGAAGCTTTTTTTTCAATACTGAATACAATAGATGTTATTATTGTCTTTGCATTTATTTCTATTTAGAATTAAATAAACTTCACAACAAAATACGTGTTTATATAATTGGACACTTCCCCATAAACACGTCTACATACAATATATTTAAGTATTGCGTTTCGCAGAATTTATTGACAATAATTAATTAATACGCATTCGCCATTTCTCAAAAAAGTTTTTATTCTCTTTGTTTTTAATATCAATTTTAGTATATTTAAAATTATATATGCTTTTTTCTTCTATTTCTTACTAATCTTTCTTAAGTTAAATTTTTAATTAAGTATTATCAAATAAGGCATAATCAAATAAAATTAAGATATGATTTTAATTTTGAGTAATGTTTATACAAATTTTAATGAAAAATTAAATAAACCTGCTTTCAATATTAAACAACAGTTTTTATTTAAATATTTCTTTGAAGTTGTTCTGTTTAATACCAAGGATTAAGCATTCTGATTTAAAGTTGTACGAATTTTTCTATGAATACAATTGCAATTTTATTGCAAATTGATCGCGCTGTTGGTTGTGGCTTATTGTCAACTGGAGGACCACTTGGAGTGGATAAAAGGTGGTCTCTCCCCTTGTCTAGGATTGCCGTCCAGGCAGGGGCTTTCAATTGCCTCGAAATTTGTATTGCGCCCAGGGCCCTCGGGTGCTTGAAGAGACTCCGGCACTGAGCACAATACGATTTTATCACTAAATGGCCTCTAAACTACAACGAAAAAAAAGTATAACAAACAATAATAACATACACACACACAAAAATTACACCTGTAATTCCGACAATAATCACCAGCATAAAAAAAAGCAGCGAAGGCAATTCGCTAAAACTAATTACAACTAAACTGTTGTTTCTCTGAACCATTTACTTTATGTTCTATTTGTGAATAATAATGTAAATAATCATCGATAAGACTCGTAGGCTTTTGTTTTGTATTTACGATAATAACGCGTTTTAAAGGCAGAAAATGGACACCATTTATATAGCCGTGGATATGTCATCAAGTCTCTGTGCCGTTATCTCCTGCATTATTTTCTATTACATTCAGACTTAGTTTTGTAACATTTTAAAAATACCTTTTATACTTCAGTACTTCGCTAAAGTCCAGTGTTCTTCGGTATAATAACACAGTTTTACTTGAAACAAAAGTAAAAGCGCATCCATGCAGGAATTAATAACAATATATTTAATATTAATTCCATAGTTTTAAACCAACTTTTTACCAAAAGTAATATGTAACTACAAAGTACAAGTTAAATATCAAACTGTTTCTTTTCCTTATAGAAAAAGCAATAGCTGTAAAAAAGGTACAAACCAAACATTAGTTCGAACATTAACTTAGAAAGCCATTTTAATCTTAACGGCAGCCATTTAGAGTTGATTACCGCTCGTTTCATATATATTTATTTATTTCATGCTAATTTTTTTTTCCTGTTATTCAATTCATAATTCATTTCGTACACGATAAAATGAAAAGTTTTCATTTGTGCAGACAATATATGTACGCAGCGGAATACGGGAAATTGTAATTTACTAGAAACTCGGCATTATGCGTCACGTATACTAATAACATTGATTAAGTGTAATTTTATATACGAGAGTAATACAATAAAACAACGGCAAAATAACAAAAATGGGCGAACGGACAAGAAAGAATATGATTATTAGAAACTCTAAATGGAATACACATATATACACGTTGTACGTGCATATTATTATTATATACCTTCTTTTTTTTCTAGTTCGTAATGAAAGTTCGCAATTATTTGAATAACAGTACAAAATAACAACAACAAAACATTCAAAACAAAAAACTATACGAATGCGAGTAATGAAATTCGTTAATTATTTTAATAAACACGGCCGTTGCCTTATCGTGTTCTTAGCAATGTACAAACGCGATATCGCCCGGACTTATATAACTACACATCAATTGTGCTTGTATAAACGGTTCCTAATCTTAATTGTAGTTAATAAAAGTATGAATGCAAAGAAATGACATTTATAGTTGCAAATATTTGCTTTTACAGTGTAACAATAATATTTTCACGTTCACTTTACCACAAGATTTTGCTATAATAAATATTACGAATTAATTGTTATACATGTTTTTGTTATTTTCTAAAAACTAATGGAATTTATAATAAATTTACTGTTATTTTTATAAGCTTAATTTTTTGGGAAGAAGCATAATAGTAATCAAGTAGCAAAGAGAACACGGCACAATGTAACGAAGCATAGAAAGAAAATTGCAGGTTACACGGATGTCCAAATATATCTAATTTCAAGACGGAAACGATCGAAACCCTCTCTTTCACAAATATATATATATAACCATCATTTTTTTCAGTCGAAACTTTCAATAATTACGATTATTATAGGCGCAGGTGGTACATATAAAAAAAGGAGCACAGACTCGCCGTTACAATACACGCTAATGATAATGCACAAATAGTTATATATCTTGTAGTTGGTAATCTGGGAACTTTAAGAACAATGAACGCGCGCAAAAGGGAAGTATTTCCCGGATATTTTCTATTAAATATCATTATTTTCTTTAGCAAGATTTCGAAATGTTCATCTTTTCCCCCCTCAGAGAAGCGAATGCGTAATATAATATAAATAAGCAAATAAATCGCGAATTTCCTCTCAAGAATTTCATTTTAATATTATTTAGTGGAAAAAGTTTGCTCGGGAAAACTTTCCGAAAGGAAGCCCCCCACTAGTTCCGAGACTCGAATTTAATTATATTTTATACAAAATATAATAATTTATAAGCGACTTCGTCGTTAACGAGATTAAATGTATACGGAGAGAGAAACTGGAGTAAACGTCGAGAGCAAATATTTTCGTCGGAGATGTAAAAAAAAACAATAAAATTATATTCTTTAAAGATTTATTGGATAAATCGAATGGATAAAATCCATTGTTCGTTAGTGTTACGAATGAAAACTGTATCGTCCCAAAAATAAAGCGCGTGTTTTTGTTTTCAGCGGAGCAGGAGCGTTCAACTCGAGATTAAATTTAGAGAAAGAGGAGGAAATAAATAAAAACAAAAAGTAAACAGAGTGCATGTCAGAAGAATGAAATTTGGAGCAAAATACACAAATCATCTTTCCGGATTTAATCTGTGCTGCTGCTGTATAGCCGGGATTCAGTGAGTATTCGCCTCGCGTATTCTCATCTTCTAAATATCGTTTAAACAGTGATTAATTCATTACGGTCAAGTGCTCCCATCATAAATATTATCCAAATATCATTCAGGCTAATGACCCCAATCTTTTTTATGCTTCATTTTCATCATATCACAAGTATTTAAAAACAAACGGAACGTCAACTAAGTCCACTTCAAAGTTAGAATAGGGCTTTGAATAAATTCCCAATAATTCTTGTAGGGAAAGCTTTGGGTTGTAACGTTTAAAAAATCATTTACATTAAAGCGATATAAATTTCAAGTGGGAAAAAAATCGTTTCGAAGAAGAAAGGAATTAATTTATCATTTCATAAATTTACACTTTATAAAGAACTAATCTTTCCTCTACCGGGATCTCACGTAAAGATTTTACTTGGCAAGTTAATAAAAGGAGGCAACAGTATGTTTTTCTTTGATGTCTCGGGAATATTATTAAATACGTTATACGTTTTATTGACAAATTTCTGAATACATTTTAAAATTATATTCGATATTTCAAAATTATGATCGATTACATAAATATTTTTTATTTGAAAATTATTTTTCGTAATGTTCACTAATATATCTATATTTTATTAATAATTTTTGGTATTTTTAAAGTAATGCCTGTAATATTACACAATTATGGTTTTTTTTTAAGTATATAATCAAAATTAATTAATTCATTTACTATTTACATTATACGACTTTACGATTAAATAATCAGATTTATCTAATATAAAATTTTGTAGTGTATAACTTAGTACTATGAAATTATTATTTTTTTTATATTTATTCAAATTAATATTATTAATTTAAATCAAATGCACATTTGTTTCGTACTGTGTTATGTAGCATTAATATAAAATTTACATTTGCATAAGTTGATTTTTTTCCTTTTAAATAAAAATGTACGTTCTCATACACAAATGTGTTTTGTTAAAATACAATTTATTAATATTAATTTTCTATATTATTATATACTTCCTTCTGATTATTTCATATTTTTTCGGTTTTTATCAAATAGTGAAACTTTTAATTTTGTTACTGTATTTTATATTAGGATTGAAATTTTCTTGAAATACAAATACTATTTCATTAATTTGGGTTTAAGCAAAGAACATATAGAGCTTTTGGACGATAATCTGAGCGAGTGTTATCTGTATATTGAAATGTTTTGATTATGGTAACTTCCTCAAATAACTGTTTGTTGGGGGGCACAAGGAAGAATTTAGGAAATGTCGTTCGGATACGAAACGATGCGATGGGAGAGATAAATGCAAGCGCGTCGAGTAGGAATTCGATGCAGAGTTAATTCGTGAATGGGGAAGGCGGCCCCCCTCATTGTATCATTGAATCGGTGGCAAGTTTCGAAAGTTATTGAGATTTAGTGCGGTACCACCGTGGGGGAGAGGATACGAGGGGGTCAAAACCTCTAGAAGTAATGCGATTGCCGCACAAATTCACTCCTTGTATATATGTATATTCTATATATGCATGTGGCCAAAAAAGAAGCACACTTGGTTTCGATGAGATGCACCATCTGGCTCTCTTTTTGTATATGTTATATGATTTCGTTATGATTTATGTTTTCGGACTTACCCTTTCTTCTTCACGGATCATCTCTGCGATGCCTGGCTTGATCTCGAGATCATCAGTGGCATGGGAGATCTGGGGCTGCGGCGGAAGAGCTGACATGGTGAGGGGCAGCGGTTCCGTGGAACCGGAAACCGGAAGCGGTGTCGCGGAAGTCGCGGGAGACATCTCCACGGACGGTGGAGGGTCTGGCATCTCTGTGCTCGCGCTTTCTGCTGGACTGCTGAGGCTGCTCCTCTCTCCAGAGGGACGACGCCGTTTCTTGGCCCTGCTGTGCTGCGGTGTTTGCTGCTGCTGGTTATTGTTATCCACTTGGGCAGGTTCCCTGCTTTCCCATTCTGGGTTCGTGGTTGGCTTCGCCGTGGTCCTGGTGATCTCACCGGCGGCACCAACGACGTCCTGCTCGCCGTTAACGTCGGCCAGACCACGGATCTTCAGGGATTCAGCGACCTTCAGCAGAGGGCCAATTTGCTCTTGGGAGACATTGATTTCACCTTTGTACATAAACTCGACGGCAGCCTTCAGCTCTGGCCATTTGATGTCCCTCATTATAACAATGGGATGCTGACAGGGGTTTTCGAAGAAGAGGGATTGGAAATACGGGCTGCACGCCGACAGGACCATCTTGTGGGCCTTGACGGAGTGGCCATCGCACGCCAAAGTCACGTCGACGAAGGACTCACTCTGCAGGAGCTGATCGAAGACGTTGGTCAGGTTACTCTGGTAGTTGTTCCAGCGCAGGCAGAACTGCTGCGGTGATCCCGACACGTGCTGCATTCTGAGGTCCTTAAAATCCAAGAAAAACAAAAAGGTGAACTTCACAACCCGCACAACATCAGTACTAAGATGAGAACGCGTAAGAACTTTCGGGGAGGAGGTGTCGAAGACGGTGGTGGTAAACAGTTACAACATCAACAACAAAACAGTACAAAACACATCAACAATAACAACAGTCTATGCGTGTATTTGTTCTTGTTGCGCCTAGTGGCTGTAGTCCGATCGGGGTCGGAAGAGTTGGCGCGCGCGGCGCGAGGAGCACGTGGGAGTTCGATGGGGAATCGGCCGATCGCACGGCACGTATGTAACAACAACAAACGTAGCGCAGTAGCAGACGTGCCTATGTAACGTCGGTCGCGTCTGATGCGATACTAACTGTGGCATGCGGCAGGAGGGCCGAAACTGCCGCCTCCCGCGCACGCCTTATTCCCCTCCAGAACCATCGGAGACCGCCTTCGCACACCCCACCCATCCACCCACTATCCACATGCTGGACGAAACACCCAAATCCATCAACACCACCTATGATCCGCCTAGGCGCCACGTGACCGACCAACCGACCGAACGTACGACCGCGCAAAAAATTCCAACGACCAACATTATTTGTTGCGCGAAAAAGGACAATCCTAGCAACCACACACATCATGAACATCATCATCATCCTCATCATCATTGTCATGTACACACATTCATGACGCAGATAGAGAGAGAGAGAGAAAGTGGGCGGATGGCAAGGAGAGTATAGAGTGCGAGAGAGACTGCGATATTTATTATAAACAAATGGCACGCCGCCGGCCGCCATTTTGTCTATTCGCCGGCCGCGCGCCTCGACAATATGCCCGCATCCGACGCCAATAACAACTAATTCCCTTCATTTCAACCCCATTTCATCCTCAGACCATCAAAATCCCACAAGAAACGACCGTTAATTATATTAACGTGCACTAATAAATCAATAAGCATACAATTCATTGCAAATCATATTTAAATTACACATTTTCTTTACAATATTCTAAAAATTATAGACCACATTAATATTAAAGATGAATTAAATATATAGAAAAATCCTAACTAATATATAAAATATAACTAAGACTTAGTTATATATTCTAAATTCAACATCGTTTAATCAAAGCAAAATTCATATTTAAATTCAATGTTTTCTTTCTCTAAACGTAAATAATTTTCGCTAAGGTTAAATCAAATACCTGTTAAATAAATAGAAGTTTTAGCAAAATCATATCAAAATAAAATAATATATTTATAAAATTTCCAAAGAAAGAGAGAAATGATTAAAAAAATCAACGATAAAAAATACTTAAATCGTTTTTTATGGAGTTTTCAAATTGATTCAAAATAAAATAAAAACATTTTTTAAGAAAAATTGATTTTGTATTGTTTTAAATCATATTAAAAGTTATTTACTTCCTATCTCGAAACTCGAAACATCCGTTAATATGAATTTCTTCGCTGAAAACCAATTTCATTTATTCATTTGAAGAAATATTTATATTGAAAAAAGTAAAACGTAATTAAAATAAAAAATTGAATTTAGATTATTGAAAATATATTTATGTTTCAATTGTTGAAGCGATAAAATAATTCAATTTTTTATTATGTTTATTGAAAGTATATTATTGTTATATGTAATATATAAAAAGTAAGCAATAGCTATATTTCGAATAATTCTAATGAAACTAAAAATAATTAGTGAAATAATTTGGGCCAATAGAATATCTACCTTTTTATGTTGCTTTGTGTTATTTTCTAACTTATTAAATATAAATAAAGACTTTCACCGTATTGAAGTTCCGACGCGACGAGCTACTGAAATCGTTCATTTACCATTTCGTTTCCATAAGTAATACTTTTATCAAATGTTTACATATTTTAAACAAAAATAAATTTAAAAAGAATGAAAAAAAAAACTTTAGTAATATCATCAAAATTAAAATATTTTCAACATAAAATAAAATAGTGAATCCAAAAAAGTTATAAACCATAAAAATATTTCAAATTTTAATCAGAATACAAACTCAAAAACTACTTATAATTCTTGTTCACTTGTTAGTTTTGATATCCATAGATTATGGTTACTTTTATCAAATAAGTTATAGCGTTTATCTTTTACAGGAAACAAGGTCTACTGTAACAGAATATACGCAGATGGACTTATCCATTCAAAATTCATACAAAAATATATAGTTACAATAAACTTATTTCGAGAATCAGTATTTATTGAATAATAATCTATTATTTAAAGAATATTTTATATTTACATTTACTTCTTTATGAATTTATTGAGAATTCAAGATTGTTTCATTCATTTAAATTACATTTAATGAAAAATAATAATTATAAATTAAATTTATTTAAATTACCTTCATCTATAAATAATATACAATATAATATTGAATACAAAATATAATATATACAAGTTTTGTTAAGTATACATATATCGAATAATTTTAGTTTCAGTTAGTTTATTGAAACAAATAATAATTAAAAGTGAATAAAGAATAAAAACTTATTTAATTCATCAAGGAGAATGTTCTTTGATCGAAGAACGAGAAAAAAATATGAACGCATTGCAAACAAGTACTTCCACAAATGTGGAATCGTTATGCCGGCGGTAAACATATTTCTGCAAACTTTTGTTCACTATATAATAAATTTCTAACAAAATGATGTAGTTTATAAGCGGATGCAGTATGTTACTAGCAATAATCACTTTCATAACATTAAATGAAAAAAATGGAATAATGAATGAAAATATTTTTTGCGATATTAACTGTTAATTATACAGGTAAAATGATCATGCAGGTTGAGGAAACAATACAAATAAACGCATTTGTATTTATTTCTGCAATTGAATAGAAATACTTCCTTTGTTATATAATATCTATTTATCGTTGCTTTTAGATTACAATTGTCCCCAATTGTGAATTATATAAACACCTTACATATTATTAAGTATAAAGATATTTTTAACATTATTTTTTTTATAAAAATTGTTTACATTCTTATAAGTATGAATTAAAGTAAACATATGGTACGTAGTTTAATTAATAGTCATACTTTTATATTCAGTGCGGAATTGCATTGTTAATTTCAATCGCAAATCACTCATACGCAATGCACAGACACCTTTTAGTGAATATAATTGTCATTTCTTACTCATATTATAGAAATGCAAGTATACATTGTAAATATCTGTTTTGTATTTAATCTATTCATTCGCCATAAATCTGCGTGTTAAAAGTAAATTATAACATCAATAAATATATTTATATATATTCAGAGGATAATTTTATGTGTCTTTAATATTTAAATACAATAGATCTAAAATAGAAATGAAAATTAATAATATAATTTAATCACATCGTATTTTTTGTCAAGTAACTACTATATAAGTACTATAGATAATTAAGAAGAAAAATTAATATTTTTCTTGCTGTAATCAATAGATTCACATAATTCAATATTTAAAATTAGAAGTTCAAATATAAAAATACAGCAATATCTCGCATACTGGGAGTAATAGATTCCACCACTAAAAAAATAACCGCACAAAAGGAGGTTATTTTTTAATTATAAAATAATTTCTTTCAAAATTACTATTATGAATCCGGACTAACGGAAACAAAAGAAGTACTTTTCGAAAATACCAAGATTTATATTATTTTTAATGAAGAAGAAAACAAAATAATATTTAATTTTATAACATTAAAGAAATTACTTAAAAAAGAAAAATATTGGTTTTAGTGGACAAAAATATATCATTGCTTTATTTTTTTATTAATTATTTATATTTTAATTATTAATTTATTGAAAAATAATTTAAATTCATTATATTTTACTGATTTGTAAATAATCTAGGAAATGTATAGTAACATCATTTTATATATTTAGAGAAAGCCAATGATGTCTTATCTTAAATAAATTAGTTTATGTGGGTTATCAAAGGAAATGCGTCCAAAATGAAAAAAAAACTTTAGATTATAAAACTAATTAAATTGTACTATATTTTTTTATTATGAAATATAATTAAAAAATGATAAGAATTAAATGATATATGAGAACAAATATTACATGTTTCCAAAGAAAAAACACTCTCAATATATTATATATAACTGCTTATTAATAATGTTTATAGCTATATCATTTCAATTAATGTGATTCAGTCCAATGTTGTAAACATGCAAATATCAGTTACATTCATTAAAAATGTCTATATTTATTAGAAATCATTTACAAAATTTAATGTAATTTAATTTAATACATTTTTGGAGATATTTTTTGTTATTGTTCTGTGATCGATTTATGTGAATTCCAAATAAATAAAATATTATTTATTTATTTTTTTGCTTAAATTACAATATTTTTCGAACTATAATACCTTATAGAATTAGATTTGGAATTTTGAGCGACTAGTGATCAAATTTTTATATAATAATACATTTAATGACAAAAAAGACGGCTGAATTTTAAATATCTTTTTCATAGATTAAAAAAATAAATAACCGTTTTTAATTGTCTAATTTGGTGTGCGTCTTATAGTCCAAAAATATAATAGTTTAAACATAATTAAAGAAGTTCAAACAATGATTTCCCCATAATTATACTTATGATCCATAATTTGATAATTATCTATACTATCTAGGGTTTTTAAAACCCGGTTATTTCAAGAAATTTATAAAATTCGACTTAAAATAAAAAAATAAAAGAATTATTTGATTAAAAAAAATCATTTTGACACAAAATCGCATCAACGGAAGACAGCATAAACTCAAGTAATGGAGCGTTGACAGATATAATAGCCTTTTTGTCTAATATAATTTTTGTTTGCTGATGCAAAAGAAGAAAGAAATCTAATAAAATATATTTACGAACTTCACCATATGTGCGTAGGAAACAAGTGTATTCGTCCAGTTCTCCATTAGAAAGAAATTTTGTAACAACGAAAGAAACCGTCTGATACTAGTAATGAATGCAATGTTTTGTGCACGTAGCAAATGAGAGAATATTGTCTATTTCTGCAAATTTTATATCTAAAATAAGGATCTGTTTGAAGAATAGATCTATATACATTCCTTCCTTTTTAAAATCATATTTTCTGAGAAAAATGAGAAATAAAATAATTCCGTGTTGAATGAAAGAATGTTGTTATTTTCGTTGCAAAATATAAATATGTATTATTAATATAGACGTAGCAAACACGTACGACCATCTGGATCAAAGTTGTAAATTCAATCCAACATAATTGAGAATATGAGGCGCCGAAAGCCCGAGTCGTTAAAAATAGGAAATTATGTGATCGCGTAGATTTTGTTATGGTTTTAGAGAAATTCATTAAGGATTTTACGGCCGAAACCGAAATATACGAATACAAGCGATATACATTT